GCAACAGCAAGAGGGTGCTTAAATCCTTCATAGAGCAGAGTGGAAACAGACCCAGCCTCTCCTGCCCCGTCTCTTTTACTCAGAATAAAACACTCACCTTTGTGCTATGCAGCAAACTCAGTTGTTGGGCATCCACAAGTGGCACAATCCTTAATGCTGTTTTTCTAGCATAGTCCCTTTGTCATTTGCATGCAAAATAATGCCTGATTGTTCTTGCACACTTAGATTCAGCAGTCATTAGTGCAACCTAGGAAAGGAGGTAAAAAAAAGCATTTTCATGCTAATATTTTCTTAAAACGTAGCACAAATCCAGCACCAACAAACAATGTGGGGTGGAACTGCGATAGTATCACATGCCTCAAATATCTTGGTTATGTGACAGCTTAACTAAAGCCAGGAAGTTTTCCTTAGAATCGACTTAGTCTACCTTAGAAAGAAAAAACAAGCAACTTTATGCATCCAAAAGTCTGGCTGGAGGACTTTCCTTATTGCCCATCACTTTTAATTAGCTGATGTGTTTTCCCCCGGAGCGTGTTGAGTACAGCACCCAGACTGCACATGTTGTTCCTTGGCTGGGGAGCTGCACATGGTAACTTCTCTTATATATCAATTGTCCTGCACATGCTTGAGATTTAATGATGTTTGGGCAGTTCACATGGGGCCCATGGAGCATGGGTGCTTCTGCACTGCTCATGAGGCTCAGGGTGACAGTGTCCAACAGACAGCTGGTTCAGGATTATTTTAGGCTGTGCTCAGTCACCAGAGATGCCCTTTCAGTGTCCAGTACATTTAGTTTCCTTCCATCCACTCAATTTCTTTTTCTGTTTAGCAGAGGGATCTATCTGAAGTGACACCTTGTTCTGGGAAAACATGGTATTGGGAGATAATTGATTGCTTTATAATTCTGAGCATAGAAACTTTTTTTTGTGTGTGTGTGGAAAAGAGCTGTTATTTTATCTCCATCTCAGGTGGAAAGGTCATAAGCAGGAGCTGTAATACTGCTGCATTCCAGAATGAAATGCTTCTTGATAATATTTTTATAAGCCTGTGCTGATTCTAACATTAACCTTTTAGAGAAAGACAGATGGAGAAAACCCAAATGTCCCTGGTCAGACAAATCCAGAGCTTGCAACTCCTGGGCTGGGGCAATGGAAGGAGATGGGGGTACAGAGGTGAGGATGAAGGTCAGGGAAGCAGCCACTTTTCTCAGGGCTTTGCTGCACCCAGCTTAACCCCCACCTAGAAACCAGGCTGGGAGACAGCATGAATCAGCAGTGAATTCCTGGGACTGGGCTCAGCCAGGTTCATGGTGGCTCACCAGGGACCCTAGGCACTCCTGCTGGACCCTATTTTGGGGAACACCACGTCTGAGTTGGCTCACATTGGTCAGCTGGCTCCATTATGGCTCCAGGCACCTGTAAGCATCCACTGTGCTGTGCTGGATAGCACAATTGCTGCCTGCCCAGCACTCAGCTAGTTTTGCACCTCCTCAGTAAACAAATTGTGATCTGTAGCATATGACCACAGTGCAGCTGCTTGTACAGCAATATTGTCAGCAAATTTCAGTATCACAGGCCCTCTGGCCTGTGATACTGAAACCCCTCCCAGATATCAAGGCACCAAAACCATCAGTTTGCTGCTGAAATCCTCCAAGTGTTATGATATATGCTAGCTCAGAGGAGTACCAAAGCAAACTCTCAGTGGGTCAGTAGCTAAGTGGAATAGAGCCCTGAGCCCAAAACATGCACTGTTTTAAACCAGGCAGCACAGGAAAACAGAACACACAACAAAGTAGTGCAACCACACTTTCACCCTGGACCAGGATTGACGTGCTTGGTAAAGCCTGCCAGAAAAGGGGATTAAAAACCCCAAGACAGTAAAAAATTATAGCAACGAGTGAGTGTTTACCAAAGGCTACATGTCACATGGGTACATGAGGTGTCACTTGCTTGCCTGTGATGAGACAAATTAATTGACACCTGAACAGAAATGAAAGCAAATGAAAGCTTGTGTTACCTTTGAAAGGGATGAGCGTTCCTAATTTTTTAAAAATATATATAATACTTTAGGTTTTACTTTCACAGCAAAAGAATCTCTCTTGTTCGTCACAGCAGTCTGGGGCTATTTTTAACACTGCTAATGAGTGACTAAAGCAGGGTGGAGTAGCTAAGCCAACTTGCTGCTCCCAGCCACCCACAAGGTTTTTCTGACCATCAGAGGAAGACCTGGACCAGAACCAGCTCATGTGAGGAGTCAGAGCAAGGTGCCCTGCAAAGTGCCTGTGTCCTGGGACAGATGTGGTGGAAAAAAATACACACCCATTCATGCAGCTGAGTAAAAAAAGGCCTAGACTCCACACAGGGCAGGCATATACAGTGCTTGACATCAGTCTCTGAGACTAATGCATCTCAGAGATGCATTAATCTCTGACCAGAGCTCATAAAGTATGTAGTTGGCATCTCATCTGCCCATCAGAAAAAGACAGGAGAAAAGCCATCTGCGCAAGACAACACCCAATTAAATGCAAGTAGTGGTTTCTCAGAGGGCCAGTAAATTAATAGAAAATCATAAAATAATTATGGCTGGAAAGACCTCCCAGATCATCAAATCCAACCATTAACCCAGCACTGTTTTCACCATTAAACCACAGCCCTGAGAGCCCCATCCACACACTTTTTGAACACTTACAGGGATGTAACACCTGGCCCCTGTCTACCCTTTGGAATGGTCTCTGCAGAGGTCCATTGGCATCCAGGGGATCAGAAGCTGTTGAAAGGGGAACATCCAGCATCCCTTCTCCCATCACCTCCAGGATTGCTGCATTCGGAGGAGGGACCAAAGATAACTGGAAAGTACCAGATGGCAGCTGCTGGATGCAGCATCCCAGTTACCAAGCCCTTTCCAACAAGGAGAGTACACACTGAATGGGAGTGAAGACAGTCACTGGAGCATGACAGCAGCAGGGCAGCACAGGAACACAGCAACATCCTGGGCTGGAAAGCAAGAAACACTCCACTCCAGACAAACCATATTCTAGAGGAGCCTATATGTATATCTGCATTGTTTTAATCTATACATGTATTAAAAAAAAAAGCCATGTAAAAAACTGATGGGAAATGTTCAGAACTCTCTTATTTTAAATCATTAAAGGCAAATTATAGTGATGGGTTAATTATGCTTATTGCAGAAGAGCAGTGAGATGCCACAAACCTGGGCACACTCTGGTGCATGGTGCTGTGGTGGTGCAAGACAAAATGCCAGAGAAGCAGAGCCTCTGTGCCACAGCCCTCTATTTCATCCTCATTCCTCTAAAAGCCAGGGAAGAGAGCAAGCACCTGTGTGCCTCATGTGGAGCCTGCACTGGCAAGGGGTCCAGGGATCTTTGAGCTACTTAGACACATGTTCCCTTTCTCCAGGTCTGCCAGACAGCTGGACAATGAGGACACAAATCTTGCAACAATGGCTCACAGCATGACCCATGTCAAGGCAGAGCCACTGACGCCTCATGTTCTTGCAATAAGGGACACGCATTTAAAAACAAGGACGTTTTTTCCCTCCACACTGTCCAACCCCACTTGTCTGATTCACCAGAACCAAGGGCTTTATAAGACATCTTGACTATTCCCAGCCTCCCAAGGGAAACACTACATTTAAGAGCATTGAAATAGACTGTCTTTTCAGACCTTGCAGAGAAATTATATAAGCATTTTCCTTTTGAAGGGATGGAAGAGGAAGGAAAAAAAAAATCAATAATTTTAAGCAACAGAGTTATAATTCACTAGAATTATAGCACATGCCAGTAAGACAGATGTATACAATACAGCTTGGAAATTTTTGCTTTGGCCCATTGAGGAAGTCATATTACCATGTAGCCTTAAAAATCAGGCAATTAGTGACTTGGGATAACAAAACAAAACTACTTGGAGAACTATGTGCAAATTTAAAAGAGAAGAAAGGGATTTTTGTAGAAATATTAAAAAGGAGTGGGTTTTTCTTCAGTACTCACCTATAGCGAGACAGGACATGGGTGTACCTTTTATAAGTTTAGTTAAAACAGCTCCCCTTGTGATCTCACATTGAGTAGAACATGTAACTACTGGAGCAAACTTGCAAAATTAAGAAAAATAATTCCTTTAAAAATCTCAGTTTGTAAATTAGTACCATAAACACTTGATGTTGCTAAATCCAGATTATTTATAAAATTACACAAGGTGTTATAACTGAAGCTGTGGCAGCAGAGATATCTGATGTAACAGTAAAAACATTTATACCAGCTCAGAATTTGTTCTATAAAAATTACAAGCTCTGCCATTTCAAAGGTCAAATTGCCTTCAGCAACTACATAGTGTTGTCAGGAAAAGCTAATCATGCTCTATTACATTACATTAAGGCATAACCAATGGAGAAGGAAAAAATAAACCCACAGAGCTTATTTACAAAAAGAATCTCTTATATCTGCAGAGAGGCTGGGAAAATAGAACACTCCTACCTGCAAATTTTTGCTGAATGGTATTTTAATTGCACCCAATGAGAATCAAGGTTTCCTCTCAGAGTTTCTATGAATTCACTGCTTTTCTAGAGGATGATGATACATTAGTGAGAGGGCAAAACAGAGCCTTCAGGCATAAGTGTATTACATACCTTCTGAAGAGTATCCCTAGGAATTGCAAGTATGGTCATAAATTGCAGCACTTTTGAATCATAAATAATGTGCTTTGCTGGCTTGTGGTTGTAGTCTCTTGCCAGTGGCCTAAGACTGTTTTAAACAATATGGAGATATCAAAGCAAGCTAAGAAGTTGCAGAAATTGAATTTATGCTAACTGCAACCCTGCACTTATGGGTTATCAGCTGCATTGATAAGAATTGTACTTCTTATCAGGAGGTAGTAAATTAATAAACACAGAAAGATTAAACAGGGCAGGAGTAATTTCAAGAGGGCTACATGAAAAGCCTTAAATAGACAATATATTGCCACAACAAACATACTGCCAGGTTAATACCACAAACATTAGAAATTGTTTACTGTATAGAAAAGGATTATTTTGTCATTCCCCAAACAGCAAATGGTACATGTATTCTTCCAGCTGAGAGAAAATGCGCAGGACAGCTGCAGTTCATTTCTTCTTGATTCACAGTTGCAAATAGTAAAAGTTCACCGAAATAACTTTCTCTTTCAGAAAAAAGTAGAAACATTCAGTTGCTAGAAGTACAAATCTTGTCTTCTGTCATGAATTTGAATGCCTGAAAGACACAGCAGCATCAGGACAGTCAAACAGTACAGTCCTTGCAATCTCTCAAGATGTTGTGCAAAGGAAATTGCACCTTTGGCTTTGGTGCAAAAGAATCCTTATTAGAATAACCTCTTCAAAGTATCCCCAAAACATTGCACATCAAAGAACCAACAATGAGGTATGACCAATATCAAGAGACTAATAAAATTAAGGAAGCCCAAATGCTTTGGGAATAATTTCTTAGAACAACTCACTCAGCAGTATGGGGGGTTTGCTGGTGCAAACTGCAGCAGTGCTACCACATGCGTGCTTGAGATACAAAGCAAGGGCTGTTCTATCTTTCTGGGATCTGAAACTTGGACAGCGAGTGCAAAACAGGCATTGTGAAATGGCAGCCTGAAGGTATAAGTACAAAAACTAAGGTAGATGGGATAAAAAACCCCCATGTATCTCATTTTAGTATAATGTAGTGGGTTTTTTCTTCTTTGTTAATGCAGTTATTGGAGGTGGTGGCTCTATCTGGAGGAAAAATGAGCTTTTGAAATACAAAAGCAAACAAGGAAGATCTTTAATACTACATGCATAAGCAAGGCTGCTGTATGATTTGTTCTAAACCTGCTGGTTTCTTCACTCACCTGCAGTGTCATGGCTTACACTGGGATTTTCTGAGCCTTGGTACGAGCTTGCCCTCTTCTCTTAAAAAAAAAATTAAAAATACTGGGGATGACCAGAGATTCAGCACAGAGCTAAAAGTAGACAGTAGTTAGTAAAGAAACCTTGTGCTTTTGCAGCCCAGCCTGTAGCACAGGTGCTGAGGAGCTCTGTCTGGCACAGCAAAATGCACTTCCATAAATATAAATATCAGCTGTTCTTAAACATGACACAGACCAAGTAGTATATTTAACAGATAGAGACAGGAAACAAGGACTCCTACAATTGAACTAAATGTATACATCGTAGGGATTTTCCAGAGACTCCCTGTGAACATGGATCAGCCATTTCTTATTGATCCTTGTTGGCTTGTTTGATAATCACAAGGATGATGTTACATGCGTGGTGCTTAGAAGATCCCAAATATTCAGAAAGGCCCTATATACATCCTGGAAGAAACAGCTTTAATTGGTAATGGCTGGGGAATACTGAACTGTTTAATTTCCTTTTCAATTTTTTCCTCATTCATTTTCTTTCTGAATTTTGGGGAAAAAAAAGTCCACTGTTGTTAGCAGTACTTCTCTGTTATCAACACAAGACTAATTTAATGAAATAGCTCTTTTTCTGAAGGAGTCTCTTCCTGGGGCTCCCAAGCCCTGATAGGCTTGCATTACCCGCTTTGGGGAAGAGGGCACCTTACCTTGTTTTTAAATGAGATCCCAGTTCAGACAGTGTCTTTGAAGAAATTAAACCCTCATTCACTACCTACATGAAGTCTAGGGTGAGTGCCTATGCAACACATATGGAAAACCTCTGCTCATATACCATGAGCAGAAAGTTTGCATTCCAGCTGAAGATACAGACACTCTCCCTTTAACATGAACATAGACAGGCATTAGACATTCTAGCCGTGATGAGTTAGCAAAACACGTACAGTCAGGGTCCTCATAACAACATAGATCTGTTGTATCCTCAAATGAGGAACTGTAGATAAACTCCTGCTTGTCTCTGCAGGCAGTCTTTAGCCCACATTCTGGCAAATTCCTGCAGATGCAGTTTCAAAACTTGGTAACAAGGAGGTATTTCACAGCTGCTTATTTTTCAAAACCTAAGCCTCAGGTTTGCTTATTCACATGCCCAATGTTTTTTTGTTTAGAAGCATCAGGAAGGACGTGCTGTATTTTTCAGAAGACTCTCTAAACAATTTCACAACCCTTTTCCTTGCAGACAAGTGTCAAGCTGCCTGACTGGGGAATGCCCAGGAACAGCAATGCAGATGTACTCCAACAGGCATCAGCACTTTGGCCAGGAAACCTGAGCTCAGAGACCTTATCAAAGGCAGAATTACTCACAACAGAAAAATTTTATCCAGTAGATCTAGATGCTGTGGGGACATAAATGAACTTAAGGCATCTTTCTGCTGCGCCCTGGTAGTACCTAGGATTGGGATTCCTAGTAATTGTGGATAATAAGCAACAATCATCACTGTGTGAATTGTATTAGCTCTGGGAAATCTGCAGGGAGCAGACATAGCCTTCAGCAGGTAGGGCAATAGCATCTCATGGCAGGAAGCTCTTAGCCAGGAGACAAGGCAAGCCTGGACCACCAGACCCTGTACCCTCACCATTCCAGCTACAGACAGAGACTGGAAGGGAGAAAAACCTCTGGCTATGCTGGTAAAGGCTGCAGTTTCCCACCCTGTACTCAGAACATAATTAACAGCCTGCACAGTAAGAGGCTGCTCAGGGATCTTTCCTGGCCACCCCTTTCTGGTCCCAATGAGGGAGCATCTGGTATACACCACACCTAATACCCATATATGTTAGAGATTAAGATAGCACTATGAATAATGCTTATAGCACTTTAAATGTCTCCCCAGTGTAAGCCAGAAGGTGAAATATTGTGTGAGTAGGCACAATTTTTTGCACATTTTTTGATTAGCCCATCCTATATGGCTAATTGACTCCAAGTACCACAGTACATATCAGGGTTATCTACTGTAAAAGATTTCTGTGAGTTTGCCAGAAGTTGGATCCAGCTTGAAAAGCTTAGGAACAGATGGCATTATTCTGCCACTTTACATCAGATGTCACCAAAGAACAAAGTGACAGTATTTTCTTACCTCCCCCAGGAGGTGAACTTTGACTCATATTTTGTAATCTCGCAGGTCCAGTCATACAAGCAGAACTTGAGTGTTGCTTCATGGTGCATTCTTGCATGGATGTTAAGCACCTTTCCTGTTGCAGAAGGCCAAGGAGAGAACTGTATTTCCTGTCAGAGATCAGCTCATCGGCTATATGCAGGTCAGGGAGGGTGTGAGGATACATTGAACTGGTGACACTGGGAGTCCCAGCTGGAGGGAAGGGCCATAAGTCTGCAGGTTGACCTGGACAACTCCGCAGAGATGATGGCTGGCACTGGCCTACCACACCAGCAGCAGAAAAATTCAGAGCAGAATTTGCCATGCTTGTTGAAGAAGGTGATGGATATGGTTTGTAGCAATGCGAAGAGAAATTCCATTGATGGGGAGACATGCTGTCTACTTAAAAAGAGAAAAAAGGCGTCTGAAGTCTCAGCAATTTTTACTTTTTTCCCAAGCCAAATACAGTGGACTTCTAAGAGAATGCTACCAGATTGCATATTCATTTTTACAGAAATACAAAATCACTTTAGTGCTGCTTATCTTAAAAATCAACCACAAATTCATAATAAAAGCAGATTAAATCACCGCCAATATTTCTACAAAGTATTTCTACTGTAGTATGTGTACTACATAACCACCAACTTAGGCAGGCTTTTGACAGCTGCAAGCTTAGACAAATATATTTTTGTGAAGATGATAATTTAAGTCATAATGCACTTATTGCATCCAGCAGTGATGAGGACACTTGGCTGGAAAATGATGACCTAGTCCTGCCAACAGGTCCATGGAAAGCTTAGGAATCACTCCAGCAGTGACAGGGATTTACCCAGGAATTCCCAGCTACATAGCCTAGGGCTTTATAAGTATGATTCTCTTGCTTTCTATTTGCAAACAATTTCAAATTTAAGCTTGAGGGATCTTAAATTCCTTAGTAAAAGCCAGTCATCCCCATCCAACACAAGGCTCACATATGGAAAGGAGCTCACCGTTTTTCAGGACAACAGTCTCACTCTTGTGCTTTGTGCTCAGGTCTTGGGGGTTCTTGGCATTGCTGAGAGCTCTAGAAAAATGTTCATCTACCATGCTGTTAATGTCCCCTTGGAAATATGTGAACACCACGCTCTGAGATTCCCATTCTGTTTTCACAGGCTCTTTGCTTTTACTCAGCTTTGGGGAAAGCTTCCTTGTTTCTTCCATTTTCAATGATCAACAGTCTCTGACAAAAACAAACAAACAAAAACAAAAAACACAAACAAAAAACCACCACACACACAAAAAAAAAAAAAAAACACACAACAAAAAACACCACCCAAAAAAGCAAACAAAAAAAATTTAAAAAAACAACCACAAAAAAACAGACAAGTCAAAGAGACAATATTCAACTTCAAATGCCTAGTGAGTGGTGAGCCCAGCTTCCTCCAAAAAATGGTAGGGGCCAGAAGAACACTTATTAGTAGGAATAGATTCTCTGTTTTTTTTTTATTTTTCCATGCACCTCTTCTTTACTGATTTACTTATTAGATACTTCTAAAATTAAATACTTGGACAGAATGGGCACATCTACCCACCAGCTTTCATTTCTCACCCTGACTTTTTAATTCTAGGCTTAGGATGTAGTACTGTGTGAATGTGCCCTCTGCAAGAACTGAAATACTTTAAAAATAATTCAGAGGTGGCACTATCCCTGAATAAAGTTCAGGCTTAACTTATCAAAATGCTTTGTCCAATTTAGGTTTTGTATTGTTCAAAAAACAATGACAGAGTGAAAAAAAAAAAAACCAAAACAAGAGCAACAAAAACCCCAAAACCCATTATACTACATTAGAGCTGAAAAGCATAGTTTTAGATAAGGTAAAGTCTGAAGTACCTTAATCACTGTCAGCACAGATCTCCTAAACAAAAAGACTTCTAAGAATAATTAGTTGCTTCACCTGTTGGAAAAAGACATTCAGATTAAATTATTGGAAATTCAAACCATGGAAAATTCAAGTAAAAAAACGGCACAAAACAACAAAAGAAATAACCTTTTTTTGTTTGAAACAACTTACCTAGAAACATGGTGGTTCTGCCAGCTGCTTAAAATTTTGAAGCAAGACTGCTAAAACACACACTGTGGGTTGACCAGAACTTACAGGTATATGGCAGGAGCTGCACTAAAACAGTTTGCAGGAAGTCAGCAGAAGACTATAAGACTTTTTTGTTCCCTTTAAAAATTTCTGCTGCCAGGTATGGTAAGAGTAGGACAAGGAATGTCCCTACTTACCCTGGAGAAGCATCATTTTCATGCATTTGTACTGTTTCTGGCTACAAGTGAGTAAGTTCCCAGCCAGAGCTCACAAGCCCTGCTCTAATCAAAATCATATTTAGGCTACAAATGCAGTGAAGTGCCTGCTGTTTCTATTCAAATTTCCAGGCTCATTGTCAGCTCACAACACTGCATAGTATAATTTATTTACCTTGGTAGCAAAAGGAAGGCTGTTATTTTTCAGAGATCGGGGCAACCTTTGGCCAATAGCCAGCTGTACCACATAAAAACCTCATGAATCATTAGATTTGTGTTTCCATCAAACTCACTCTGCAATACACACCAGTGCTTAACCCAGTTCAATACATTAATCTGATTTCTTTCCTAGTCATACATCCCCTAATCCTCAGAAGCTTCCCAATAAACACGGCACTCATCTGTGTCTCAAAGGACACCCTGAAGTGCCTGTGAAGTCTGCCTTCAAATGGTTTCTCAGAATTTTCTCGCACATAAAAAAAACTGCTCAGGCTGCAAGACAAGTATTCAAAAAGTATTAGGAAACATGAGGATTAAGGTTGTCAAGCCATAATCTATCCCCATTCTAATGTTTAAGCCTTCACCTAAAAACTTCTTGTCCATGTTTATTATTTGCTTCCATATTTAGTTTTTCTTGTTTACGTCCATCTCCCACCACCTTCTGTTCTGTTCAGTTCTCCCTGACTCATGGTCCCTTGCTCAGCCAGCCCTAATCTCCTGTCACCAACTGCTAACTCATGGCCAAATTCAGGAGATCCTTAGTTCTAATTTTATAATTTCTATTGCTTTGCCCCATTCTCCTAGATTCACCTAATCACAGCAGTGGGAGCAGGACTGCAGGGTCACACTCTGATTCAGAAGACCATCTTTCACAACTTTAAAACTGACCCAGCTTTCCCAGACATAGAAAACTTAAACAAACACTTCCTCCCAATTTACAGGCACCTTTCCAAGGTCCATGAGGGGAAGCAGGAACTAGCACAACCCAGCCACACAGCTGGAAGTTCTTTGGGCACAGGAAGAGACGCTGGTTTTTCTCAGTTTTAGAAAGCATGCTGTGATTTGGGTTAGGGAACTTTATGATTGCTCAGCTGGGGGCCAACACTTGGCAGCGAAAATTACAATCCAAGAAGTGAAAGCTTAGCAAAGACATAAGCAACCAGGTGGCCTGAGAAAGGACAAGAAGTCATCTTGACAGCACAAAACAAAGCAGCTTTTCCTACTCTGTGCCAGCACTACACATCAACATACAATTTAGGAAGCATTAGCACTGGCCCAGAGGATCAGTTTTCCTGTTCTTCACTCGGTACAAGCCATTACATCTTTGTACCACTTTATTAACATCCTTAACTAGCTCCTGATATTAATTCTTGTCTCCTTTAGCATCCTTTATTTGTATGCAGCAGCTTGTGTGACTGTGACCAGTTAAAATGCTGGAAAGATAATATATTTTAAAGAAGAAAAGGTCATTTATCTATTTTTTTTGCAGTGTTTCCCTTAAAAATCTCTTGCGATTTCCAACAACTAGGCAGAGGAAGGCTGGGTATAATCTAGGTTACATCTCAGTCCTCTCAGTGATCATATGGGCATAAGGATTATAATGTCCCAGGACACGGGACCTGAATTTGCAGCACTGTAGTTTTCATTACCTGAACTTCCTATTATTCCATTACCCAGCACAAGGTCTGCAAAAGGCAGAAATCCTTCCAACTTGTGTCCAACACAAACCACTGTCAGAAGTGGAGCTCAGGATGAAATGGATTCAGCTCATATCTCACTACACTTAGAATGGGTTAATAAGGGCAAAATAGTGCAAATATTTGTCCAAGTTATTTCTCCTTCAAGTGGACAGGACCCATGGTCAACACAGGCTTAAGGGTCGTGGCTGTTGACAGCTCACCACAAGACCTAATACTTTACAGTATTTTTCACATTCCCCACACTTGCCAGCATATCAATTTACCAGCACTGGAGCATCCAGCAGGGAACTCTTCATTCTTGATTTCATGTTGCTCAAACCAGTTTGAAAAACAAAAAAACCTCTCACTTCTCAAACATTAAACCACAATTTAAGAAGCAGGAATTCCTTCTCATCAAGTTATTAGTCAAGTAAGGGAACATTTGAGGAAGTCAGCGAATTCTCCTACCTTAACTCACTGTCAGCAGCAGTGTCACACCAGTCAGATTTTCCAGATGTGGGACACTCATACTATGTCCAGCAGGTCGGGATCCTTCCTGGGTCTGGCCAGCTCTGTGTGCACTGCAATGACTGTAGCCACGTTCATCAACTCCCCACACTTTCTAGCCTCCAGCTGCGCAGAACGAGGCGTTTCCTTCAGCCTATCTACTAAGAATGCATGAAATGCACTCCAACGAGTCAACCAGGTTAGGAGGTTTCAGGAATGAGGAAAATAGGACTGTAAATAGGTTTAGGTTTGTTTGGGGTTTTTTTTATGACAATGTGTACACAATAAAGAAGATACTGTGGACTTTGGAAAAGTTTGGAGAAGATGATAAGATATGTCAGTGAACCAACACTGCACATGATGATAAAGGATTTTTCCTATGTTACAGAATATTCACTCTTAAATTAGTAACAACAAACACCTATGAGGAAAAACACCTTTTTCCAACCCAGATAAACTGGATAATCAATTTTCTTTCTTTGCTAGATCTGTTTTAATAACTACAGGGGAAAAAAAAAAATCTCGTCCCTGTAAGGGCTGTAGCAGGAAAGAGTTTGGGGGTTTTTTTTGTAGCAAGTTTATCAAAATTGGCAAATTACAGCCATTCCAGAAAAGCTGAAACAGGGTCAAACTTGCCAGTCTCAGCTGGAAAAAACACACTGGGGAACTAGTCACCAAACTGGTGACATTATGTCTTTTATAAAGTAGCTTAGGAGTTTGTTTATTCACCCAGAAAGCTGGCGAGCACAATCCAATTCCCTCTGCCTAAATACATAGGAATCCGCCCTCTGCCCTTCCCAGAACAACTTAACTACCAGGCTGGGAGAATTCCCGTGATGGTGCTTAGTCTTTTATTGACACATTGTTCGCGTAAACACATTTTCATTGCGAGACAGACTGATTCCAGTCCACCAGCAGGGCAAGAGTCTTCAACATCCCCACTGCTCTGTCTCATACAGCAGAGATTTCCTCTGCTAAAGGTTTTCAAGACCTTATTTGAGATATGCCTCTCATGCTGACAGTTAAAGCTCTCCTCAGGTTACGATGGCATCGGTTTAAAGCTCATAGAAAGGACTACAGGATAAAATGCGATTTCAATCCCTATTCTTCAGTACAGGAATTGAATGACTGATTTCCAGTGCTTTTGAAGCACTCAAAAGTATCAACATTTTGAAGAAAGAAAATTTTTAAAAACTTTTGAGAATAAAAATTAAAAATCTACTTGTCTTTATTAAAAACACCTTCACAATCTCAATTTTAACTATGGTTTCTGCAGTGGTCCCTCCTGCTCCTTTTCTCTCCATGCAGGTCCATCAACATCCCAAGCCAGGAAGAAGGATGAGACCAAATCCAAAAATAGGGAACAAATACCATGCTCCCACTTACAGTTCCAGCAACATGTCTACTGGGTGCAGCTGGAAGTTCCGGCATGTTAACACATGTGGTTTATAAACTGAAGCCCCTGGTGCACCAAATGCTACGGTATCTTTTACTGAGGAAAAAAAGACAAACATTACCTTGAAACTGATCAGCAGAGACTTGCTCTGTTCATGAGTTTGTTTATTAAAAAGGTAGTATAAAACACAACCCCTTTAAGAAACAAATTGAAGACAAAGGGTATTCTCAGATGCTGACACAAGTCTAGACATTATTCAAATAGCTTTTGCTTTGTAATTTTGCTTTTCTAAAAGATAAATGAAAATTATTAATTTATTTAAAGAAAATCACCTGTCAGAAAAAAATTCCAAGTCTACTTACTGAAAGGTTTAATCTAACAATATACTTTTCATATTACAGAA